ATCAATCAGGAAAAAAGTTTTCCTATACCAATAAATTTTTCGAGCAATTTTTTTCTCAGTTTTTTTGAAAATAAATACTCTTAATGTTAGTCAATCCCGATAAATTTTATGTGAGATGTGGACATGGGTTAGTGTTATTATAATCCGAAGACAGAATCAAATCATCTCGATTCGTTTTTAAGTTATGGCCATTATGGACATTTATTTCTGAACGCCTTGTTATACTGTACAGTATACAGTAGATATTTGTTTATAAACATTAAAAATATTAAACTTTTAAAAAATTAGCTCTCTCTCTCTCTCTCTCTCTCTCTCTCTTCACCAAACACTCACTCACTTTCACTCTTTCTAACCATTTTAACAAAGTATGAATTGAGACATTAATTAATTAACTTAAATTTTACTTTTAAAAAAAGTATTAATTTATTTAATAAATGTAATTTTAATGGTTTAATGCATATTATGGATGGTTTGGATCTCCTCTTGAGTTAAAGTGAAGTCAAAGATCTCGAAGTCTTCCTTAATGTACTTTTTGGTGACACTCTTCGGAATTGTGATCAGATGTCTCTCAATCTGCCAGCGGAGGGCCACCTGAGCCGCGGACTTGTTGTGCTTCTTACCGATGGCCACGAGAGTCGGGTTCTTAACGAGACCTCCGGTGCCGAGCGGTGAATAGCCGGTGATTGCGATACCCTTTTGGTTGCTATACGTGACGGCGTCGTCGTTGTTAAGCGTCGGATGGATATTGATTTGATTGACCGCGGGTTTGATTCGGGCCGAGTTGAACACGTGATCGATGTCTCCTCTGTGGTCGAAGTTGGAGATACCGATAGAGCGGACCAACTTCTGGTCCACGGCGTCCTCCAAACCCTTCCACGTGTTCGCGTAGTCTTCGAGTGGGGCGTGAATTAAGACCAGATCCAGGTATGAGACGTTCAACTGCTGGAGCGAGTGGTGAATAGTGGCCAACGCTTTCTGTCGGTTGGATCCCTGCGGCCAAACCTTTGTGGTGATGAACAGGTCCTCGCGTTTGATGAAACCGGCGGCGAACGCGTCGTGAATACCCTCTCCGACCTCTTTCTCGTTCTTGTAGACCTCCGCGGTGTCGATATGGGTGTACCCGATCTCCAGGGCGTCCTTCACCGCCTGTCTCACCGATTGGCCGGTCGCCTGCCACGTGCCCAGACCTATCACCGGCATCTCGTACCCGGTGTGCAGTTTAATGCCCGGCACTTATTGGTTGGCAAAGTTTTTTTTGGTTAGTTTTTAAGTTTGTTTTGGGTTTTTTTTATTAAGACAAATGTAAGTCTATATACCTTTAGCCGACACGACTGCCAAACCAACCGCTAATAATACCAAGACTTTCATCGTATGGCAGGACTTGTGTGTTGTCTACTGTTCCCCACAATTACTGGCAGTTTTGTGTCAAATCCATGTCTTAAATACTATAGATAATTGTTGGCAGAGACTCATTGATTAAGATATGAATGGATTATAAGAGCAGTAAAATCCTTGAATTTTGCAATAATCAAAACATGATAACATTTATAATATTGAATTGGATTAAAAGTATATTGTATTTTAAATTTCTTTAGATTTTAATCCTAATAATTAATCGATAAATTTATTGATTGACTAAATTATCATTACATGAAATGATAAATTTGTAGAAATGCTTTTAAATTATCATTTGGTAGTTGTTTTTGTATATTAGTTCATTTGTGTATTAGTACAGATGATACAGGTACTTTTTGATTTGGCACAAGTTTGCTATTTAAAAGATATTTTATGCACATTTCTATCCTGTTTTTTACATTCTCTCTCTCTCTCTCTCTCTCTCTCTCTCTCTCTCTTCACCAAACACTCACTCACTTTCACTCTTTCTAACCATTTTAACAAAGTATGAA